GCTCAGTGATATTTCATTGACCCTGAACAAGCCTCACTGTTGGTCAAAATGATATGAACTGTGGTGGAGATTCACACAGATTCATGCAATAGGCCGTGTCACGTCCTTAATCTGTCAACCCAAAAATTTACATAAAGCAACTTGTATCGATCTAGATTCAGTCCTTGGACAAAAGGCTATCTGGGTAACCTTGAGTTCGGGCTGGGACTAACTTCTTGGGGTAGAGAGACGAAGACTATTCTATCACCTGATTGGTTCACAAGCGCATGAGAGAGAGATGAGTCAACTGGAACATTGCTCGATTTTCAATTCCAATTCATACTTCGGTTCTAATGCAAATCAGTGCAAATAGATTACTAAAATGACCAAAAGGCACAAACAATTAGCAAATACAAGTTTGTCCAAACCTGGCCATTAAGGTAGAAAAATAGAGTAGCAAAGGTCACGTTTAAATTACAGTAGCTTTTGAATAGAAAAAAGTATGGCAGTGAATCATGCTTCAAACAGAATCTCATGATTTGTAAAATAAAAGTTAGTGATTTACAAGCTTTGAATCAAGTGAAATAAATTCCCACAATATAGTTTCCAATGTTTGTCATGGTTTCTATTTTACATTGTTCACATCAAGCCGTCTGTCATATTTATTAATTAAAGAAACAGAGTTTTCTATCGGGTAATGTAGAATGACGCTGAACAAACTTATTCAGTTGTTTAGTTCAGGAGCGATAGAATCTGACAGTACTGATACAAAGCTTTCAAATCACGTCGGGCTCACCAAATAACTGTGGTGGATCAGACGATCAACAAAGTTAATAAACATCAATAGTAATGTTAATATATATAAGTCAATTATTACAAATACAATAGAAAGTTGGGACTTCACTGAAGTTCACCAAATTGATGCGTGTTCAGCTTTAGTCTGGTACAGTGAATCCACAATTATAAATGCTTGGTAGTTCTAATCGGGTTGACGAACTCTTCAGTGATATTATCCAATGTAGGATGTGATATATTCCAATTACAGTCTATAAATATATATAGTATTTGATTTGGACTTCAGTTAACTTATTCACGAGCGAAGATAGAACGAGGAATGTGTGAGAAGCAGTGTATTTGTTAGCCGACAACAGTATGTCACGCTGTCAGTATCACAACGGAAAGTGTATTCAAGGTCATTGACTAAAACAACAGGTACAGTCGTTTAATGATAAATATACATACAGTGAAAGGCTGAAAAAATAAATACAAATAATAATAATAACTGTTTACAAAATAAGATTTTCAGGTCTATCTCCACATACCGTTCGTTTTAAAATGAATTTTGATTTCATACTTCAAATAATGCCTCCGAGATATTTTTCACGTGCCACTAAATAATCTAAAAAACCTGATGAGAACTTCAAATTCGAAAACCCTGTAATTCTGTGACATTTACTCTTAACATTGGTTTACTAACTTTTTGAATAAACTAGTTCTCTGGTACCAGATATAAATCTACCACAACTCAAATTTCGGTAGTAGAGCTACAAGTCCATATTCTTATTTAGTAATTGGCATCAGCATCCGTACTGTAGATGCATACTAAAGCTGGGGTGATGTAAATAATTTAAAGCTCAGCAGTTTTAGCCGATAATCACGTCTAAAAAAAACAATAAAAGCTTAATGACAGAATCATCCAGGTCGGATAGCATAAAATCTCCAAATATCAAAAATGTGACTAAGTTAATTATTTTAATGGACCAGTCTACTCTTGAGTTTTCAGACCTACTTGAGAAAGGCATGACCTCTCAGAATTAAGGGATACTAGTAGCTAAAGAGGCAGAAAAATGATCATTTGAGTACCGAGAATGTATATTTGAATGCACACATAGTTGGTTGTAAATAAATGAGTTTTTAAATATTGTTTAAAAGTTTGATTCTTTATTCATTGTTTATAGAACCGGGTGTTTACTTGGAAAAGTTTAATAAATGATATCATATTTATTACAATTACTGAGTTAATTGATATGTTAATATTAAAATATATCGTCTTAGTTTTTGGTGACATTAAATACAAATCTACAGAAGATAACTGAGTTACTTACAAACTGAAAGCAGAATTTGACGGACGCTTACTAACCACAAAGTAACCAAACGAACATTTTGAAGAGTGAATATAAGATCACAGTCATGCAAAAGTATTTTGCATTTCGAAGGGGAAAAACACATACCATACAGACACTAATTGCCAACTGACTAAGTGTGGATTGCATGACTTGAGTATCATCGCACAGTGAGACAATACCCTCCCCATACACAAGGTCGAGAAGTCTTTCTCCAGGCGAGAGATCCATGCCACAATGTAAAGAGGTCGGTGTTAATAAATTTCTCATGCACACCTTTCTTCAATAGACAATCCAAGAGAACAGTCCTGTCAAACGAATCGAAGGCATCCCTGATGTCAAGAAGCACTACGATTGTTTGCCTGTAATAATTATGTCGGTGTTCTAACATTTGGCGGAGGTGGAAGATATGATCGATACATCCTCGGTCAGAATGAAACCCAACCTGCTCCTCACGAATCAATCGTTCTTGGATTTTGAACAATCTACGAAGTAAGATAGAAGCCAATAATTTGCACGCAATCAGAAGCAGACTTATCCCTTGATAGTTGTCTTAGAAACGACATAAACCTTCTTTAAAGATATGGATAACTGTCAACTCATCCCACGACATTGGACACTAAAATGGCCAGACTTTTGTAAATATCTCAGTTAGTTCCATAACCAGAAAGTCACCACCATCTTTAAAAAGGACTGGAGACAAGTCGTCTGAGCCTAGTGATTTGTGGCACTTCAGGAGTCGGAGTTTCTTGCAAACTTCCGCGTTGTCAGATGAATCAGTCGTCATTGGCAGTGGAAGGCAGAAAAGTTTGATCGATGTCACCGAGACATCAGACCAGTTGGACTGTTCCTCGAAGAATTCTGCCTATCGTCTAAGACGTCGGTAAATGTTGTTGATTGGCATCCCATCAGCTTCACTTACATCAAGCGTCTTGCTGCTAGTAACTCGGATGAGTTGGAAGAGCTACGGGCAGTATTCGGGGATAGTTGCTGTTTCTAACTCGTCAGCTCGCTCTGACCATCAGGCTCTTCGGTCTTTACGCAAGCTTTTCACAACTTCATCACATTACAGTCTTCGTTTGTGGTCACCGTTTTCTGACCTGAGACCAGCAAGTTCACATCGACCACCTAAACGACTCTCTTTTGTACCTAGACAACCGACCGGAGCATTCAAGTCTCTGGTTAGCACTGAAATATCTTTCGGACGCACTTTTCGTAGAAGAATATTTAACTGGTTGTAAAACTAAGCAGTGATCACATCCGGGCTGCAATCTGTCGGAGCGTAGGGATGACGAAAATACATAGTCTCTCATACCGATTTCTTCGCACTTTGGTGGAACTTTCAAATCTAACAGTACATAACCGACTGTTAATAGGGATTCGATCGTGGATCTGGACAGACAAGCAAGGTAACGAGGTGGAGCGGATCGGCGAAGTCATATGAGCCAACTCCATTTAATCAATATTCATATTCAGACAAAAGTTACATACATGTGATGAATGGGGTAAGCAATACACGCACACACGATCATATAAAAACAAGTTAGGATTAATAAGCAAATAAGTGACAGGGTAAAAATGTGGCTTAAGAAGAATGAATAGACTGGTTTGTCCAGAGACTAGAATAACCTATGTGGGTTGACATAGTACCAGACATCATAGCAACACCGCGAGAAGGTAGTTAAGACATCTCTGGTGGTGGCTCTACACATAAGAGCATTTCGAGAGGGAGGACTCTCCTCACCCTTGGCAGTTGGGGGCAACGAAGAGAATATAAGAGAAGTTTAACAGCTAATAAAATATCTTTAATAGTGTGAAATTGTCAACCATGGGAATCAATCGTACCGGGATCGAAACTAAACACAAACGATTAAGTTTGGATCCATATGAATAGACTATATTGAAAACGATCCGTTTTAGGTTACATGTACCAAAGATATTTATGGTATCCATAATATGGTCAAGTTCTGACAATACTTACTTTCATTGAAATGATGGGTAATGAATAATTCTTAGATGTTTATTTAATTTACGTTAGAATAAAATTTTCCTTCCAATAAGAATTATAGTTAACAGGAATTATTTACCTTCTAACAATTAATGAAATGATAAAGACTACTGTTTCAATTCATTCGTATGCTTACCTAATTTCCATTAAAATCATGACCTACGGAACGCAAATTTACTAAAATGGTTTATATTCATAAAAGATAATTATAATATTAGACTGACCAATACTTTTTTTAACATTTAGATAATTCTTTGTAATCATAAATACATGTAATGATGTTCCCAAGGTAATATTCTGAATATGATTAGATTTCTAATTTCTGGACGATTCATTTAGTATCATGATTCGATGACCTAAATAAAGCGACTGGTGTTTGTATATATCCGCTGAATTTTCGCGAATTTATTAATACGCATCGATCTGTTTAATTCTATATATTCACAACATAAAGCTAGACTTTAAATGAAATAGGTGTTCTTAGAAAAATCCCGTGTAAGTTATTTTCCGCTTTTGGATTCAATAAGAATAAATACAGAGTTGGTAGTACGTTATTTTGACTTGGTATTTTATTAAGGTCACAGATATATCAAGAATTCATAGGTCCAGGTTGTTCGGCCGAATGTATGTCTCCGCCGGTAAACAAGTTAAAATGGATTACATTTCACGAGTAACTACAGAATAACAAATCACAATCAACACAAGTTTCATTACGTTATCACAACATTTGGAGAGATTTCATTTGGGTTGTGTCTAAAAATGTCGAAATCGACTTAACGCCTATTCCATATCGTTCCTAAATGTATAGACTTTTAGGACTTTTGGGAGGAAAAGTCAAGAAATGATGTACTATTATCATGTCTTTTGTTGTAAAAAGGAATTTGATGACTGGATATTACTAAAGTAAAATAAAATCATAGATTTTCAAAGGTATAACTAAAACTGTATAAGACAAATTCGTAAAAGTCAATAATTGTGCAATGATTTCGATTGCCTTCACAGGACTAATCTTTTATTAAAATTAACGGCACAACCAATTTTGAACAAGTAAATTGTAAGGTATTTTAAAGTCTTAAAGCGTATCAGTAATAAAATTAATATTAAACGAATTTCTGCTAACCGTTTGTGGCTGAAATTAACTAGATAATAACAAAAGCAATTTAGTTAAGACAAATAATATACATCACCACTGAATTCAATTTATTAGAAAGGTTGATGGGATGCCGAGACATGAAAATCAAGAGGTGAATAGTCTATCAGTGCTAGTACATCTGTTAGCTGGAATTAAATCGTGAACTGAACTTATTCAAACAGCCATTGAAATCCCGGAAGTTATGAATAACTGTATCGTTCTAACATAAAATTACTCAACAGTGAGTATGCACAACTTCACCAAGGTTAGGCGCTTGTCGCGAGACCTGAAGGTCTAAGACTGGAGCTCGGATGTGGTCGTGTACATACACAGCTTGGGAATCCCATTGTAGAATGGAACAGCTGTCTAATGCTAACTAGTTTCCAGTAATTATCTTAGATCATTGGATGTTATGAAATTCAACAATTTTTACAACCACCCTATATTAACTACTATTAAGTTTCATGACTTAAATTATATGAAAGTTAAAAATGTACACAACCAACTTGTCTGAACCACGTGCGCTGTTAATCAAACAGAATCAAATTCTAATTTAAAGCAAGATACTAAGATTAATTAACATTGAAGAATAACTTCGAAAACTAAAATAATTCCTTGTATTCTATCGACAACTTGTTATAAAAATGAACTAATAATAGTATTTTATTTTGAGTTACTCAACTACGAGTAGAATAACTGGAGTTGATCTAATCATTCAGTCATGTAGACTTAAGTTTATAAAATAAACAATATGTTTGAAGGAAAATCTTGATTGTAGACATAACTAGCTAATATTACCTATCTACAATCAGAAAAAACCTATTATTAGGAATGGTAGTGCAGTTTGTATGAGAAATGACAAACTGATTATGGATTCGAGTAATTACTTTTCTGGAACATCGCGGTTACATAGAAAGATTGTGCAACTGAAGAGAACAGTGATATAAAATAAAACTGTACACAGTATGAGATAGTGTTGTTATCAAACTGTCATCAAATAACTCAAGAAATAATCTGGGAAGTCGAATTTTCAGAATACACAAATCATAAAATGTAGATGAAAGACTTAAACTGAAATATTTCAAATTAAAGCTATTCACATTTTATTCATATGAGAACAATGGATACCATCAGTAGTGAACTCTAGCTTACAACAGCATTTATAAAACTGAGTTGAAGAATCAAATGACAAACGATCACACAAACAAATTTGATGAAAAGACTGATTTTCAGTAAAGTAAAAATTTCCTGCAATTTTTAAAATCCCGGTTATGCTGAACGATGTACGAGTATTAGGTGAGAAACCTTGAAATGAAGTGTCACGATTGATTTTTTCCTGACGATACTTAGAATTAAGTAAAGTCATATGTAATTTTACATTATTATCCGGACGATATGACCCAGTGCTGGTTAGATTTTGTTCAGTAAGTAGATTCAATAGTTCATTAGCAATTGTTTGTAGTCTTTGTGAATCCGATGATTCCATCAGCTAACGTAAAATGATTGAAAACAAAAACAGAAATAATCAGTTGAGATCAAAACAAATTATTTGTCGGTCTAAGCAAAGTCAGCATATTCAGCTTATTACGATCAACTAATCAATCAACCAGTCATATGCAATGTATATGTGAATCGGTCAACTATGAAGTGCATTTTATTAATTTCATCTCGCAATGAAGTGTGGAAACTAGGTCAATGTATAATGTTTCCGAATTTCACGTTTAATTCGACTGATTGATTAAATAACTAAAGTTGGATAATGCGGTAAAACATTTATTAGCTGGAGTATCTCATTTCCCTATAATCCGTAAAAATGACAAAAGATTCCTCTTATATATCGTTTTTTATACGGTATGCCACTTTGTAATTAGAGAAAAATCAAATATAGAGGACTAATAAACTGAGACTTTTAAGAAGTTAACAGATTGACATTCTCATGCTTCTTCCCACACAACTACTCCGATTTCATTTTTAGGAACTATCCTACAGAATTTTTGGAAAAGTGTATTGCAATTCAATCAGTCAGTAACAACGTAGAACTTCGTACTTACGTACATCAGTTCGAGTCGCCACACCACATTAGCACAGAGAAGCAGTTGTCGATTTAAATCCCGTAGTGCTAGATGTAGTAAAATTATAAGCTGTAACCAGAAAAATTAGGGTTTGAAGATGTTATTCAAGGATAATATTTCACATGTTGTCTACATATATCATACCTTAGTGGTAACAAAAGCCTGCCGGACAAGCTCCACACTTTGGTTGTCAAGCTAAAAGACTGACATAATGATAAATCTTCCTCACTGGATAACTATAGGCCCTTAATCTTAGTTTAGTGCTTACTAATAACCATCATCAGGGCGAGACATAAAAATCCAATCTTTGAAATTTAACATCAGAATATTCAGTAGAATAATAAGGAACAAATTATACATATATATATATATATATATATATATATATATATATATATATATATATATATACGGCTTTCGGTTACATTTTGTATGAGATCAGGTGATACTATTTGACTGATCAATTCCAAGTAGGTAGAGGAGTTTAAACCTAGGAACCCAATAATCAAAAATGAATACCTAAATTAGTGGGCAAACGATTTAGATTATTCAACAGTTTACTTAAAATTTATTCACGTCTCATTCATACTCTCCATATCTTCATGAATACATGTCATATAATAATAAGAATCGAAACAGAATAGAAAATTAAGACATTCATATCTTGTATTAAGTGTGAAGCCGTAACCGGTTAACACACTCACTAATACAGAAGACAAAATACACTAACCTTTGCATAAAGTACATGTACAGAAGTAGGGTCGTCATTCATATATTCAAGGTCTTTAATAGTTAGTTGGAGAGGACCAGATGCAAACAACTGAATACCTCTTTGAGATTTGTAGAAAGTCGTTAATATTTCACATGCTTTTTCAACTTCGGATTCATCAGCCAACACAAGAGTTACCAAAGTGAAGTGTAACGTAGACACTGAATGAAAGATAGAACTATCCACGCCCATAAAATCATGAGAACATTCACTAGCAGCTTGTAAAACAGACTGTTTGAATGTCTTAAAATTATCTTTAACGGTTGGACAAGTAACTGGTAAACAAATGAAATGAGTTGGTTGACAGCGATTACGTGCATCAGTCACCATCCAGAGAATACGACGACATGCATTTAAAACGTTAAATCTTGACGTCGCAGTAACAGAGACCATTGAAGAACTAGAACCAGAATTCGGGATATCAATGTAACAACGAAATTCGTCTTCTAACAGTTTTTTTTTTGAATGCTGAACACCAACAATGAACTTGTGAAATAACGGTGGAACCTTAAATGAAGCAGTGTACCCGTTATCAACTACCATAATTTTCCTGTTTATTTCCATAGTTTCTGGATCATTTTCATCTATATCTACTTCTTCAACATCTGGAACCTCTTCGATTTGACTAATGGACGTAGGAAAGGACTGAACAAAACATTGCTTTGGTGCATTTTTCCTATAATGGCGAGGTCCGATATGTATCATTTCTGGTGTCAGGACTGGATCCATTTTTTGTTAAACACTACTAAAAATGATATTAGACAACGAGACGTGGAACTATGAGGCAGTTTAACAAATAAAAACTACAATCCATAAATAGTGACGAAAACTTATTTGAACACGTTTGCAAGTAGTTTGGGTAAACTGTGTTTATTGAGAATGGGCTAAACCAATCCTCTGATCTCCAATCATTTACATCTCACAATTAGAAATTTTAAATATGGAAACTCTGGGTGTCATTCAAAATCATTTCATTTAACTCAATATATAATTGGAAATAGCATCAATACAGAATCACCAGCCTCTAGATTCCTTTCAGTCTTATACTCATCCATTATATTCATTAGCTGAATGTTTAAAATACGTTTGAGTACAAGAAATACCGACTGTAATTTGAATGGCACTTCATTATAAAGGGATGTATTACATCTAATACATGGAGAGTTGTTTTGTACAATAGTGCCAGTGATCAGATATGCTAAAAAAATATTGAAGAGATTACAGCCACTACTAATAAACATGAACGACTTACCACAAAGTATTTTTCAAGATTCTTACTTCAGACGATGTAAATATATGGGGCAATCCAAGAAGAGGATGATGAATCAGCTCTTTGGTGATAACTGTCTTGATTTCAGAGTTAGGTGATAACGTTGACTTCACTTTCAACTCTAAAAAATATTTTTAAATGACATGTTGGCAGTATACACAGACTGAGTAACTCTGTTGAAAGTATCTCTACTAAAAACAGATCTTTTTACAGCATGATAGAACCTTATAACGTGATAGTCATATTTAACCAGTCTCATATATTTTACTTTGTTCATTTAAAACCTAATCCTTTAAACTGGTTTTTTCAATAGATATATCTGGCCTCAGGGTATGATAATTACATTTAGCTTTGCACGTCAAAGAGACAGTAATACTTAGGTCTCTGATTATTCAGAGACAAGAAAAAAGCAAAAATTGGAACCTCAATCTGATAAACAAGGGACTATGTTAAATCTATGTCTCTTGAAACTTCGAAAAATTAGGTAGCCTCGCGATGATATTACAACATTTAGCCTTTGGTAGGTTTGTGTCTAGTCTGAAGGTATCTTGTCTTGAAGGTGTTAGGAGCAGTAAGTGAGATCATCTGAAAGAAAAAAAACAAGAGAAAAAATGAGCCGACAACTCAGTAATTGCATGAAATGCAATTACACTTGGAAACGAGAGCAAATGACATCAATCAGAGGTAACACGAGCATGAGATTAAGGAACCTTAGTAATCGAAACAAGAAGTTAGTAGTGTAAGGTTTCAGTCGCTATAAGCTATAAATAATGGATCTTTTGAATTTTTACAGATTATTCGATGTTGATTGATTAAATTTATGTTAATCCCAGTACTTTGACTTAAGTTATTACAGCTGATCACCAAGTTAATAAATGACACAGTGAACAATTGAAGTGAGGAGGAAGGAATGAAAACAATTCTTTTCATTTCTCTGACACAAAAAAGTACTTGGCTTTGTATTATTTTATTCCCTAAAAACAGTACTATGTAAAAAATAGTTTTCGCATATCATTTCTCATTACGATACTAAATAAGTTTTCAAACCTTAAATTAAAGCTATTCGTCATCTCCGAATATTATACTCAGTCCCACAAATTCTTTGGACTGAGATGGTGCTTTTATAAGGTGAATTAAACTTGGTTGTCTCTTTCCAGGTATTTCGAATGGTAAATCTGTTGAAACGAACATCGGACACTGCCAAATGATTGCTGTAAATAGAGTTTCGCAACTTTATCTATCTTACATTAAAGACTGGATTCTGACCACCTAAACAAAAGATTGAGCTTGGATATGGATGACTATTTACAAAACAGCAAGAGTAAATCATAGATTTTAACGCATAGAATTCCCACCCATGGCATTAATATTCTATGCTGTCTGGTGATATTGAGTTCACTTTTTACCACCTAGGTTCATATAGAGACGAGAAAATGATTATTCAAGTTTCCTAATAACTCAATTTGTTTAGGTATGTTAAATAGCACAAGTTGTTGTAAACCTATATGTGGTCAACCTGGCTGAGTGGATTGTAAATCCAGACTATTTCAAACCTTAAAATCCCCTCGTTACTACCTATAAAAGCAGACAAAACTCTATTACTTTGAAGAGATTTGAGGGGACTTGTTTGCTGTCCTATAGTTTCCACAACTGAAACAACAGCGAACTAATCAGCTTCGTAGTCATATTTTTAACATTTTTTCCAAAGTATTCAGTCTGAAGGACTGAAAACAATTATAGGGTTCATTGAAAGCTAATATTCTTATCAATCGCGCAGACCAGCTTTCACCTTTGTCACTTTCGGGCTGATACGGAATAAAATATCAGAACGAGTAGACAGTGCAGTTGATATTTACCAAATTACAAAAACTGATGTTTCACTCACCATATCTTTTAATTACTACTAGCATCTAGTCACACTGTACAAGTAGTTCGGTCATATTTTCATACACACGAATGATCTAAGGTGAAAGTATGAGGATGATTCATCATCCTCTAGATTTATTTAAGCTAACCAGATATGTAGTGAAGGAGAACAGCAAATTATCGAACTGGCTACTTTGGGAATTCCCAAAAAACATTTGTTCTCTGAGTAAATCAGGGGTCATTTATTTGAGTATCTTAACTCAATGTCGACTGATACTATGCAACAAATCTAATGTATACAAGGTCCCAGATGTTAGTGGAAATACAACACAGTTATTTCAATTACTTACTTCATCAAAAAGTCCATAATTCTACTTTCATGAAGTTATGTAGATATTGACCACACTTAAGTTACTCAAGTTAGCATGTTACACGAAATAAAAAGATCAGCCTATCAAATTGACTACCCAAACTAATTTGCATAATGAAGCTCTTATTGAAGTGTCCTGGGTCAAAATGATGATTTTTTATGCGTCCAGGTATATTCTGTAGGTGAAAATGTGTTTCCCGACTTTTTAATCGTGGTAGTTACTGCCTTATCCATATTTATCCACCACTTTAGGTTGCGATATTTTTTATTAATGTGACGTGTGATACAAAACTCGCTAATGACTTAACTAAATGTTTTACTTAATGGCAACAGAAAACTTTGAGTAGTCATGTAAAACAGCATTTTCTAGTCATATTCAACATTACACTTCTGACCGTATAGTGGTGGGATACGATATTAATTTAAATCCATTTATACTTATCTGGATCCTAACCTGAATCCACAATGATAGCAGCGATCGACCGCTGGCAACGCTAGACCATGTGGGTGAAATTCATTTTTAATTGTGTCATCACTTTCAAAACTGAACAACTTATTGTCTAAGTTTAATTAGTATTTTACCTGCACATTTCTTGTTTACAAATTGCCCCAGTCTGAAGTGATTAAATCCTATTCCTGGTATATAGTCAACTGATCGGTTTGTGTTGTAGTTAACTAAAAATAAGGATACAAAGATTTGCTCTGATAAGACATGAGAGACACTAAAGCCGTCATGTAGTTGAAAATTAGAGGAAAGTTGGTTTTGCGACTATTAAGCTGAAAGTATGGATTTAGCCAACATATATCACCGAAGAGTTAGGTAGTGTCACCACTTCTTATAGAAAATGCATGAATCTGAACTCCAGTAAAGAAATTTTCTTAGATTTCAATTGAGTACGCAAATCATAAATGTGCGGTCAAAATTACACAAAAAATTCAAAGAGCGAAGTAAAATATATGTCGATTTTGTACAAATCGGTGTACTTTGTCTTAAACTATAATGTTATCGAATGTTAGAAATAAACTTGAAAATTCAACGGAAGATACCGTAGACGATGTCCTAGATAGTCAGTAAAATAATACAACGGTTTCACTCACTTGTAATTACGACCAACAAAGTCCCCAAATTCTGCTTTCGGAAAGTTAGTTGAGTATTTACGATATATATGGCCTATTCTAGAACACGGGGCATCAATCATACGCCCTCTACACATCCAAATCTTGAACGATAACTCGTATTGCTCTCCACCCCAAATAAGAAGACCAGGATCATAGCCTCCAAGTTCCCAGAACCATTTCGCACTGATAGCAAACAGACCTCCTGCCATCACTGGACTGTCAAAAGGCTCCTCAGGATGATATCTATCTTCTGGTAATCATGGAAGGAGCTTATAGTACAACTCCCAATCAAATGCTCCCCGAGCCCCTTCATCTTGTGCACGATATTCAAAAGTATCTGCATCTATTACATCAATAAATGGACAAACAAGTTTTGTAGTTCGCAGCAATTGGATCAAGTAGCGGCGGAAGCCAGTTTATTCCTGCTTCACAATGAGAATCCAGAAAAATGAGCACTTCTCCAGTAGCTTCTCTGGTGCCTGCTGTTTTCGCTCGAATAAAACCTCCCCTCTGTTCCAGGTGAATTACACGTACTATACCACTTGGATACGCAGTTGCAAGATGATTATCAAGTTCATCTTTCAGATATTTTCGTGAGCTTCCATCATCAACCAAAATTATTTCCTTGATTAGTCATGAAGGAGCTCGATTCAAAACAGATGCAACTGTGCGTAGGAGAGTCTCCCAATGCTCTTCAAAAAAAGGGATAACCACTGAAGCAGTAGGAAGGTTGCTGGAATATAGTTTTCCTTTACAACGTGGATGGCGGATATCTATAATAGATCTATCTGTTTTGATTTTCCCACTAACATACGCACTAAAACCGTTCTCATTTATAGTTTTTTTGGATAGTTCTCTATCGAGAGGGGATAGTTCGAAAGCCATGCCGTTCTCTCCAGGTCCCACTCTCGAACCTTCAAGTGCAGTAAGCGAGTAGTTTTCCCAGTCTATTTTAAATGGCTTTACATTGTGTACACTTGCAAAATCTTGATTCCGGATAAGTTGGCTTATAGAATGAGGTCCAGATAGCGCTTTATCCAAATATTTATTATATATAATAGCGATACATAGTAGGAATAGTAGGGAGATTAAAGATAGTCGAACTAACCGAGAAGGATGCACACGCATCTGCCACGCAGAATAAGCAACCAAGGTCAAACAATGTGGTCGTTCAATTCAAGGGCAAGAGGTAATAAATCGAGACAAAATGTCTTATGACAAGCTTGGGTGAATTAACCGTTCGTTTAAGCACAGACCTACATGTTCAAATTTAGGAGAAAGACGGAAAAAAATTTAACTTCATATGCTAGGTTGCGTTTAAAGGCTTCATTTGTGGTATGTTCATATACCTACAACTCCAATATATTTGAGACCAACTTGTTTAAATCGATGGATTTCTTCGCACTCACCTCTTGCTGTTTCACTACGGTTCCAGGTATATGGTGATGTCCAATGTATGGTGGTCAAGCCACTCGACTGCACCAATTCTAGTCACTTAGACAGATATTTGTGGATTTGCATATCTTGAAATTTGAGTGGGTGTGCTTGTCTCAGGACAGTAGGCATCCCGGATATCAGCAGCTATCACATCACCAAATAGGAGGTTGGTTGGTCACAATGGGAAGATTACCACGTGATAATTCCAGTGCTATGAGGAGACGATTGCTTCAAGCATAAGTAAGTAATCTACGTAATTGATAGTGTGTACGAAAACGAAGTCGATAAGACAAGAGAAGGAACGGAGATGAAAATAAGTGAGACAGGAGGTGGCTAACGGTGTAGCGGTAAATAAATCCCCAAAATAAATAGCTCTGTAAGTTTTCGACATTGGATGCTGACCATATGTTTTAGTGGACTCATCTAGCTGAAGGCGCTCGGTCAGGCATCCGCACCAGATCACGTGTGGTAACGCCGTGCTCAACATCAACCGCAATCGCTGGCCAGATTAGATCAGAGAATTCCGATATATTGGTCATCGCCAAATATACTCTTCCGATCTCCTCGACTCAGTCTTTTGATTTCTCTGGGTGGGAACGAAATACATTAGAAGGTGTTACTGGTAGAAGCGTTGTCAAACACTGAATACCTGTGACATCACCATTGGTGAGCCCGACGTGATCTGGTACACCTTATTGCTACTGTGAGTCTGTTCCTTTTTGGGATTTTTATATATCATTGCCTTATTTTTTTATTTTTTTAAACATTGTGATTTTTTTCGTGTTTTTTCTTGAATATATATATTTTCCCCATTATCGTACTTCATATTTCGTCATGACTGAACAGACACCTAAAGTACTCAAGCTTAAGACTTTGTCCCCACCTTCGTTTCAACTGATGCCTTTCTGGCCCGACAACATCGAAGCCTGGTTTTGCTACGCAGAAGCCGACTTCTCCGAGCACAGCGTGATCGACACACGTGCACAATTTCTCGCAGTAGTCAAGGCACTACCGCGCGAATTCAACAGGTACGTAACACCTAGTATGTTTACTAGTGATGTTTCCGATCCTTACGAAATCTTAAAACGCTCGATTCTTAAACGAGGAGACCTAACCGATCGACAAAGGTTAGATCAACTCTTCAATAACATCGACCTGCAACACGGTTCTGCGACAGACGTGTTGCAACGGATGAGAGAGATTATAGGCCCAAGAACTTTCGACGAAGGTCTATTCAAACAACTCTTCTTGTCGAAACTTCCCCAACAGGTGCAAGCAGTTCTGGTCTCGTTCCAGAACAACGCCCTAGACGAGCTAGCTGCATCTGCCGACCGCATTCTAGAAATTACGAAACCTACTACCGAGGTATTTTCAGTCAAAGAAAAGCCTCACACAACTCAGAATGATATAACCGACTTATGTCACACACTCACGCGTTATCTTAGTCTTCGTACCAACCGTAAGAGATCGCGCACACCACGTAGAAGCATTTCTCGTAAGCGATCTGTCTCTAGACCACGAGAGACAGATAACCCCGACTGGTGCTGGTATCATAACCAGTATGGAAAGCTTTCCAGAAATTGCAGAAAACCCTGCAATTTTCCCAACACGAAACCGAGTGACTCGAAAAACAACTCGGGAAACTTCCAAGCCGGCACGCCTTAACGGCAACCGTAGCCGGCGAACATAGCCGTCTGTTACACGTCATAGATGTGACAACGAGAGTTCGCTACCTCGTCGATACTGGCGCAGAAGTTAGCGTTCTCCCAGCGAATCCCAACGATCGGCTTCAAGAATCGGCTCTAAACTTACAGGCGGTAAACGGAAAACCGATCGCTACGTATCGCAAAAGGTACGTTTACCTTAACGTGGGTTTACGCAAACCCATCCACTGGATTTTCGTTGTTGCAGATGTTTCTATGCCAATCATTGGTATGGACCTTCTACAACATCACAATCTGATCATCGACACTCGCAAACGGAGGCTAATAGACCGAAACACTAATTTGTCCGTTTGCGTAACTTCTTTTACTGGTTGCAGAATATCCTCAGTCACAGTTAAACTTATGATAGACCCACTCTATCAACCACTACTCGATAAGTACCCTGGGATACAACAAACTCAACCGAAACTACCGTGTGTAACCAGCAATGTTACACATCACATAATGACTACAGGACCACCTGTATTTTCTAAAGCACGACGACTAGCTCCTGAAAAGCTAAGGTTAGCGAAAAACGAGTTCGACCATATGATAGACTTAGGAATCATACGACCGTCAAGTAGCCCATATGCATCTCCGTTGCACATGGTCCCTAAAAAGGACAGCAACGATTAGCGTCCAACTGGTGACTATCGGCGATTGAATGCGAAAACCATTCCCGATCGTTACCCGTTGCCTCACATTCACGATTTGACAGCTACTTTGAAAGGTACAAGTGTCTTTTCGAAAATCGACTTGGTTAAAGCGTATAACCTAATCCCTATGGCTACTGACGACATACCGAAAACAGCTATCATAACTCCCTTCGGACTCTATGAATTTTCGCGAATGACTTTCGGTCTAAGAAATGCTGCTCAAACATTCCAAAGATTCATAGACGACGTTTTTCGAGGTCTCAACTTCGTACACGCGTATGTTGACGACTGTCTAATCGCAAGTCCGGACAGAGAAACGCATCTCAAGCATCTGGATCTCGTTTTCGAAAACATGGCATTACTGTAAACGTTCAGAAATGCCAATTCGGAACCGACTCATTAGACTTTCTGGGACACACTATCGATGCTCAAGGTATCCGACCCCTTAGAACCAAAGTGGCGGCAATTCTGGATTACCCAGAACCGACCACGATCAAGCAACTACGAATGTTTAACGGCCTGGTAAGTTTCTATAGACGTTTCATACCGAAATGCACATTACTTATGAAACCTCTGACCGACCAACTTCGTGGAAATGCGAAATCCATTAATTTGGACGACACCGCACGAAAAGCATTCTCCACAGTTAAGGAACTGATCGCTAAAGCGACAACGCTCGCACATCAGGACACCGAAGCACCCATTAGTATCTCAGTAGACGCATCGGACTCGGCAATCGGTGGCGTCTTACAACAATGGGTTAACAACTCCTGGCAACCCTTGGCATTTTTCTCTAGACGGTTGCTAGACACCGAATCGAGGTACAGCACATTCGGTAGGGAGCTCCTAGCTATGTATTGTGCTGTACGGCATTTCCAACACTACATCGAAGGTCGTGAATTCACTCTTTTCACGGACCATAAACCGCTCACTTTCTCGTTAAGCTCTCCTTCAGACAAGTACTCTCCCCGTGAGTCTCGACAACTAGACTACATTTCGCAGTTTACTTCAGATATCCAACATATTTCTGGAGCAAACAATGTAGTTGCAGACGCCTTATCTCGCATAACTTCCTTGAACAGTTTCCAACGAATCGACCCTCTTAAACTCGCCCAGCTTCAAAAAGAAGACACTGATCTTCAGCACGAGTTATCGTCTACAACACTCAAGCTTTACATCAAACAGATGGAACAAGTAAGGAAACCTTACTGTGTGACACATCTACAGGTAGAGATCGCCCAATCGTGTCGAAACATTATCGACGCAATGTCTTCAACACATTGCACAAACTTTCGCATCCAGGTGTTCGTGCAACCATCAAGCTTATAGCAGAACGGTTTTGCTGGCCTGGCATGAATAAAGACGTGAGGGAGTGGGCACGCTCCTGTGTAAGCTGCCAAAAATCTAAGGTTATCAGACACAATAAATCTCCCTTGGGCTCATTTAAAACTCCCGATGCTCGTTTCGACCATGTTCATCTGGATTTGGTAGGACCTTTACCAGATTCAAATGGATACGCCTACCTCTTAACCTGCGTAGACCGTTTCACTCGATGGCCAGAAGCAGTACCTATCAAGGACATCACTGCTGAAACAGTGGCTCGCGCCTTCGTCGAACGAAGGGTAGCAAACTTCGGCTGCCCTTTAACCATCACTACAGATCGCGGACGTCAGTTTGAATCTGATCTTTTCTGTCGTCTGACCACACTTTTAGGAATCACTCGATTCCGAACGACCGCCTACCATCCACAAGCAAACGGGTTGGTAGAACATTTTCACCGACAACTAAAAGCTTCACTATCAGCTGCAAACGTTTCACAGTGGACCGACGCTCTTCCACTTATCTTACTAGGTATCCGCAATGCAGTGAAAGCTGTCATTGGATACACTGCGGCTCAACTCGTTTATGGAATGACACTTCGACTTCCAGGAGAATTCGTGGATCCTTCATTCTCTTCAATGAACATGGATCTATCCTCCTACACGAACAGGCTTACAAACGCAATGCGTTCAGTTAAACATGCTTCCACTCGACCTCAATCAACTGATGTTTTCGTTCAACCTGACTTACGATATAGTACACACGTTTTCGTTCGTCAAGACTCGCATCGACGACCATTTCAATCGACATACGAAGGACCCTTCAAAGTTCAACGTGAATCTAAGTACTATATAGTTGACAAGAACGGAACAAACGATAGCATCAGCATCGATCGCTTAAAAGCAGCGTATTTAAAAGGAAATCCTATTCACGTCGATTTTCCTTTGGTACAATCGCACAACACGACTCCTACACTGATAATTCCTCAACCGACAACCAACACTAGCGATGA